CCTGCTGATATCAAGCCTGTGATACAGTGACTTTTAAATTATTGTGAAAAAACCACTTTTTTCTCCAGTTCTCCTGCAAGCAGCTGAACTCGTGTAACTGCACATGAACACCAAAGCTGCCTACTGAGAGGGGACCTGTTAAAAGTCTGAGAGTTATAAAGCTTATTCTTCAGACTGCAGCCCGATTTCTTATGCACGTAGGATTTAAACTGAGACAAATATCAGATTTAATTACAGACACCGATCAGCTAAAGCCAACTGGAACAGTTTGAGTCTATGCCATTTTACTTAACTAAGAATTTTACATCTACATTTAACAAATAGAGGGTTAAACATCAACAAAGACCTTTACTATTTTTTACAGAGACGAGCATCATCTTTCAAAATTGTATCAACATTTACTATAACCCATGAGACTGAGGAAAATCAACACTGGTACCAACACTGTCACACGAAAGGAACGTTAAAGCAGAGACCTGCTTGAGATCAGAGCTGGAGCAAAACCAGAGTTAATCCAGTTACACCTGCCAGGTGAATGCAAAACTAGTCACCAGAAACATCAAACCAGCCAGTCACACTTTTTACCACTCCTCCCCAGTCTTTCGTAGCATCGTGAATGACAAACATCTTCACAGGTAGTCATTCCGACTGCGTGGGGATTTGCTTTAGGAATTTTTATTTTAATTCTTTTCAATTTATCAGAGTCAATAGGTTGAATGTGATCCAAGTTAGACTTGTTCCTACCTCATCTTCTAAATCTCCACACATTTTAAGTGCCTACAATGTGTACTAAGCTAGTGAGATCACACTAGCATTAAATGTGTAAATAAATTAAGTTAGCAGGGCTTCCTTAGCTCTGCACTTAAGATGACTTCCCAGTCGAGTTCGTATCTTTGACAGCCATGAAATGTAACAGGAGATAAATGTGCCTGTGTTCAGGAAAAGCAGGCAGCAGAGGTGCCTGGAAGAGCAGAGGACTGAGGCACACCTACTCATTCATTCCGCACCGCTAGCGATTAATTTCAGCATAAAGGAAATTGCAAAACTAAGTTTTCAGACCACTCCTAATTCTAATGAACTTTCAAAATCTACTATCCAAAATTCTCCTACTGTGATCAAAGTTACGTGTTGTTTGCTGGTCCTTGGCTTTTCCCACCCCACATCGGAGCAGCCACCAGCCCCATCCGGCGCCGGCAGGAGAAGCCCTGTTCTCTCCTGGTTCGGATGCCGATGGGTGACCGGGAAGGAGCTCTGTCCCACCACAGAGCTGCACAGAGGCAGAACTGCTTCTCCCTCTCCCACCTCCACACCCGCTCCCCAGATTTAAGTCTTTTCCCACCAGATAAAGGAGCTGGGAGCAGTGTGGTGCGGCGGAGCTCCTGCCACCCCCACCCTCTGGGCAAGAGGACACCATCTCCACTCCTCCCTCTGGGCACACCAGGCCTGGAAGTGGAAGATGAAGAACTACCTTGCTTCTCCGATGTGCTCCCTGCCATAATTTCCCTTTCCCTCTTCCCGGGAGGTGACAGTGTGAACTCCTGGGAGGAGCAGAGCCGGGTGCAGGGAGACACAACTAATGCCTCCGCAGCACGGACCAAAGTCACCTCGATTTTCACATCCGGAGAAAGAGCAGTTCAAAAATTAAGAGGGATTTGAAACCAGGCCTGAGGCACAGCGTAGTCTTTCCATTCTCAGAAAGTCTAATTCTTGATGGCTTGAGTCATCGTTCGAGCAGAGCTGGCCACACTGCGCTCCACGCCGGCCGCGATTCCACTGCACCGCTGCCCTGTTCCAGCGTCACGCCTTCTCTCCAGCTCAAGATGAAGAGTGGAAAGAGGGAAGGAAATTCAGCAGGGACCTCACAGATACTCCTGACACAAAATTCACTTGTGTCTATTCTTCAACCACTGCCAACTGCTGATCTAGACGTAGCGAGCACAGAACACAGTTGAGCATCATTCGAATTATCCGTACCAGAAACACAATTTTCATTCCTCGTTCCAACACCTCACTAAATCCTATTTGGTATTTCTGTTCATCCTTAATCCAAAAAGGGCATGGCTTTGGCTAGAGTTCACTCAAGCAATCATCACCTTGGGCTTTATAACTCTCATTATGAGACTGCAGTGCTGCTGCTGCCCTGCACGCCTGCTGCTGCCTTCTCCTGCTTCCCACCTCCCCCTTCTGGACCGTGTTTTCAGTTTAAAAAAACCCACAACCCAACACACCCACATCGTCAAAGTTTTACTGGCAGCACTGTAAAAGGAAAGACGACCTTGGCCAATCCCTGGTACAAGCGTAGGACCACCAGCCTACTTCTCACCCCTCTTGAACCCCATCAGGCATCCAAGAGCCCGTCCTTGCACAAGTTCACCAGCACCCTCACCACCAGCAGCATCACTCCACCTTCCCAGACACCATAAGGCAAAACCATCTAAGGTGAAGGTCGGCCCAAGGAACCCTCCGCACGCAGTGCACCAAAAAATGATCCAAACCCACCACTTTTCTTCAAAGCATGTTTACAACACCTTGACTTCCTTCAAGACATCCTCATTTAACTCAAGGTTTTTTTTTTTTTCTATCTGAATTGGTTTAATAGGCAAGAGAAATCAAACAGTTCATTTATCCACTGCTGGTTAATTGGCTGTGATGACACACAAACTTTGTTTGACAACATTTGGCCATGAACGATAAACAATCTTCAGAGAGAACACACAACATCTAGTACTTCATGCAGGGCACACCCAGCTGCGAAGCACAGACAACTCAAATGAATTTATTATTTTATTTTTTTTTAAAAAAGGAGAGGAAAAAAGTTGGAAATCGTGCCTGTAATAAGGAATTATATGTTTTAAGAAGGCGTATAAAAATATCAGAAACTGCCTTAACGCTGCAACCAACTCCCTCCCAAAGATACCTGTTACTTCAAATATTTTTCTCACTTGTACCATGAATAGCAAGGAACATCTAAGAAGTTGGTGAGGCATGCTTTTCCCAACTTGTGCGCCTAGTATGGCATCGCTACTCATCTTGTCACTAAAATCACATAAGCACTCCTAAAATGTTACTGTCAGCTTTTAATACAAATGCACTCCCATAAGAGCTGTTAAAAAATGAAGAAATTACAAAATAACTGCCCTGCATCAACAAAATCCCACCAACACACAAAACAGGAACATGCTCTGCTGTCATCAAGGACTTATCACATAAAAGTGGGCGAGTATTCTTAACTTCCAGCTTTCTATGTTATGGTAAAGAAAATAAACCTACAGGAAAAAAATGAAACATTTCCTACTAAAATGACAGAGTTTGGCAGAAAACAGCATGCTTCTCCAGGCACGGTTTAAGGAACAATCACAACGTCACAAACAGAAGCACTACAATCAAAGTCATCTCCATAGTTTTATAACACTGAAATAAGGAACAAAACTAAGAACAGGAGTTTACAGAGAAATACGTGTCAAGAAACAGGAAAAAACAATGTTTCTAAAGAACCAAGTGTTCCATTTGTTTTACAAAGTGGTTTTTTACAAATATAAACCAGTGATTCACCAGTAACAAACATCAATGTTTCTATCCCACCCTTCATGTAAGGGATTCCTTCTGCACACTCAACGATGGGATCACGAAGTATGTAAGAGCTGGACCCAAACACCTTTGTA